CAAGATTGTGCAGAGCAAAAAGAAGGAATATAAAGTTGGACTATTTGACCAGGGATAAACTGTTTGATATTTCTTGTAACTCCTAATGGACTTCTGGTTGAACTAGGATTGAAAAGATGATGATTTCTGGATTGCATATAGTTAAAAGTTAGGCTATGGGGAGAAGTGTTTTTTTTATTTATAACTTTAAAAGAGGGTGAAAAGTTACTATATTAGCTTATACTCGGTGTGATGAAGGTTGGAAGCCACTTCTTTATTGTCTCTGTGGCCTTCTTTTTCCTTTTCTACTTTTTTCTTTTTCATCTTCTGAATTTTATTTTTCCATTATCCTCTAATTTAGTTTGTATTAGTTTTTGCCATGTTTATTAAAAGTTTCAATAAAATTATTAACTTAAAAAAAAGAATATATCACAAAAACATAGTTTACTGCTCTAAGAATAAACTCTGCTGAGTTTCAGGTTTGCATGCTGCTCTCACTTTTATTTTTTTTAAAAAATACATACATTTTCTTTGTAAAAGTGCCATGTGCCTGATTTCAAATAATCTCTGTGCTGGTTGAACTATAGCTTGCTTTGTGTAACTAGGACAGGAGGAACATTACTCATTTTGTAGTTGTGCCAGGGCTGCTCTTGTATCTTCTTATTATCCTTTCATGACTGAGGTGTACAATATATTATGCTGCATGCATAGCACTGAAACTTTGATCCAAGAATGAAGTACTGTCGTGTTAGTTTGTTGAAAGAAAATGTTCCTGCTTTTCATAGCAACTGATATGCTGTTTGCTGGTAAACTTCCTCCTGTACTGTAGAGAGTTGAGTTTTCAAAAGACTCTTTTGATATAAGTGTTGTTGAAGAGAGTGGAACAAGTGCTAGCCTAGTGCTTTGAGGGCAATAATTAACTGCCAATATAGATTAACTTTTCTGGTCCATCAAGTTCCACTACCTTGATTATGTGGTAGGTTTAAGCAAGTAAAACTTTTTCTTTAAAGGTATCCTAAATGTTAGGTTTTATTTGTTTGTTAGACTTGTATGCCTTCTTTCCTTCAGAAACTCAAGACAGTAAATATAGCAGTCAGGGAGGAAACAGGAGGTTGTGGCTCTTTATGCAAGGAGGAGATGCTGCAGTCTTTGAAAAAGGCACTGCTGCACTCCTTTCTTAAGGAGTCAGTCCTGCACCTAGTCATGTTAGGTAACTAACATTTCCAACTTTCTCTTTTTGGGATAGAAGTTGGTGAGACATCAGCTACAAAGGGCTCTGGAAGACTAAGATTTTCTAGACCCATTCAGTCCAAGGTGCTGCTTTTAACCTGAGAAGCCCTATACGACTTAGAGCCTGATTATCTTCAGGACTTTTTACCCTCAGAGGAATCTGCCCACCCAAAGCCTCCTGAAAGTTTCTGCCTCCTGTAATATATGGCAGGAGGATGCTTGAAGGCAAGCGTTCTTTGTTGGAGCTCCTCTCTCATAGAATAGCTTTCCCTAACGATGAGAGCAGCTCCCTCCTTTTTGATATTTCAGAAGTTAATAAAGACCTGATCTGTAGACCCCTTGGGTATTGAGAAGCTGAGAACTATCAGTGTGTTATCCTGAGATGAGTGATGGGCTTTCTGGAAGTAGGATTATTGTATTTTATTGGGGGGGGGGCAGAATATATTCTTATTTTTGATATGCATTCTTACTGGTTATTTTGTTGTGTATTATGCTGCTGCTGCTATGTTGAATGTGTAAGCTTAGATGTGTTTGATAGAAGCAGCATAGAAGTAGCAGTATAAATAAATAAATGCATACATTATTAGAAACAAGATGTGGACCAATTTTCCCAATATAGTACTTTCCAGGTGTTTGGGACTACAAATTACATCATCTTTGGCCATTAGGCATTGACTGGTGGTAATGGATAGTCTAAAAGATCTGGATAGACATCAAGAAGTATGTAGTTTCCAAATAAGTTAATTGCATTGATCTGTCTCCTACCTCTGTTACACAGACTAAAGTAAAGGCAAGGAAGAGAAACCACCAGTCTTCCAAATTTTTGTAATAGGAGTCGCTTTTCAAGGTTGAATTTGTTAAGTAGAGTTCAGTTTTGATATAAATGGCCTACCCAAGATTTAAATAAAATTAAAGAGGTTTAGTATGATAACCAATAGCTTATACTTGTGGTTGAATATGTGTGGTGAAGGGAAGAAAAACCCTGAAAGCATTAACTTTCTGAGTCAGGTAATCATTTGTCTACAGATCAAAAAGAAAAAATTTCCAAGCGAGCCTCCATTTTGCTGCTTCTAACTTCTGTAGGGTTGTGCTCAGGTTCCCTGGATAAATGGTGATGATTCTTCATTCTTACAATTGTATTTCTCACATTACTATCAACAAATAACCCCTCCTCCTCCCAAATAAAGTGGAGGAGCACAGGACCTTAGAAGGTCTTCACTTAATCATGTGTGTTCTCTTTGCCTTAAAATGACAAAATGTGGATTGCAACATAAACTCCATTACTTTTGGATGTGCAGCCTGATGTTGTGACATACATTTTGTGTTTCTTACAAAACCTTTAGATTCAGCAGATCCTTCTGATGGAATTTCTTGAATTTCTTGCTTCTCTTCAATGTTAGTTTATTCTTCTTTTTGCCGTGCCTTTCAGCTTTCCTGAAACAGTTAAGCTTCTTTGCTGTTAGAATCTACTGACCATTCTTTCAAAGCAAAAAGGGAAGAACAGTATTTATCTTTTCTGAAGTGAAATCCCCACCCTTTCTGGCTCCTACTTCCTGTTTGCCTCTTATACTTTATCCAATAGTATTGTCTCCCTTCTTGTAAACACATATGAGATGACCTATTTGAGTTGGGCCAAGTCAAGAGTTTTCTGCAGTCATTCACCATTTTGAATTTCTTCTCAGTTGGTTAACTTACTATCTAAGCTCAGTTTAAGGGTAGGTGTAGTGGTATAACTGAATGAAATTTGTCGTTTCAGAAAAACCTGTTGTATGTAAATAGTGCATCCTCCTTTCTTGCTTCTATATTGTCTTGTCTTCCAAAACTCAGAATAGCCAGGACTGCATTAGTAGTGAAAGTTTATTGGATCCATTTGATAGTTGAAGAATACAAAAATAAAATAAATAAGCAGCAAAGTTAAATGCATTTCTTTTCTGTGTTGGTTATGTTAGATTGTGTGTATTTTATCTTCAATTTTAGAGAATGCAGAAACGAGCAGAGAGATTCAACGTCCCTGTGAGCTTGGAGAGTAAGAAAGCTGCACGAGCAGCTCGGTAAGTGTGTATTTGTGTTATTATTGTTCCATATTGCTTTTTAACCATTGTATAAATAGAAGTGTATTCCGGGTCCATCCTGTAACTGTTGACCTCTTAATTGGGACAACTTCTGTGAAGAACTTCTGGAATTTGAATTGTGGACAACTATTGTTTTGCAGGGATGCTTACGTGAATATTGAAACTCACATACTTTAAATAACATTTTCCTTTCCAATTAACAACTTTTGAAACTATTGGTTCTCATCCTTTTATTAGGAGTAGGGAGCCTAAAACATCCAGTTATTCTGAACTCTTAATTCCAGTTACTGATTGCAGGCCATATGAGCTGGGAGTGATGAGAATACGAGCCAGAGTTTCACATCTAATTAAGAAATGGGTTTATTAATTGAGTAAAAGTGAAACATAAGATGGGATGTCCAGAACAATATTTTGGAAGATACAGATGAGACAGAGTAGGCATTTCTCTTAATGCTTATTCAGTGCAGGAAGCTTTCCAGAACAATGCCAAATTGCTTTAAAATGCAGGAACAATACATTGCAATGAAGTGTAGCTTTAACTTCTAACAAATGTTAAAGCATTCCCAAATTACTAAAATACTTTTTGTGAATTCTATAATGTTCTGTGCTTCCATTTGTGCTGTTATCAGTGCCAAAGATGAAAAATTGCAAAAGGTTAAAATTGAAATAAATATTTAATATTGAAAGTTAATATTGAAACTCTGTCACCAATTGATAGCATAGCTTGCATTATATATGTTAAATGTCCTGTGTTTTGAAATGTACAAAGAGCTTTAAAGATCCTATCATTTAAAAATATGGAAGAGCAAGATATGATTCTCTAAATATACTGTAAGCTGTTCAATTCACTCGATTGGTAGTTATATTTTAAATGGTAAAAGTGAAACCTGGGTTCACTATGACTTGCTCTTCTGATTTAAAGACCAGTCTTATATTCCAAGTATGTATTTTCAAATTATTCACAATTCAGCTACTGTAGTATTCAAACTAGTCTATTGTGTTAAGGGCTTCAAACCTAAACATTACAGTTGCTAACTAGGACTACTTCCTTCTCCACAGGTTTGGTATGCCTACAGTTTCAACTAAAGGTATGTGACTGAGACTTAAAGTAATTATTGTTATTGTTGTTATATTATTTTATGGTCCAAGAGCAAACAAAGAAACAATAAAACAGCAGTT